CTCAAAGGTGCCACAGGACCCTCTGTTGCTTTTTACAGATTCAGACTAACACGGCTACCCCTCTGATACTTGTTACCAGAGAAAGTCACACATATGCAAGCATGTGACCTTAGATCCTGTACTGGTGTAACTATGTGACATAATTCTACATTGATGACATCTTCATCATCTGGACCCATGGAAAGGAAGCCCTTGAGGAATTCTACCATGATTTCAATAATTTCCATCCCACCATTAACCTCAGTCTAGATCAATCCACACAAGCGGTCCATTTCCTGGACACTACTGTGCTAATAAACGATGGTCACATAAATACCACCCTATACCGGAAACCTACTGACTGCTATACTTACCTACATGCCTCTAGCTTCCATCTAGGACACACCACAAGATCCATTGTCTACAGCCAAGCTCTAAGATACAACTGCATTTGCTCCAATCCCTCAGACAGAGACAAGCACCTACAAGGTCTCTCTCAAGCATTCTTAAAACTACAATACCCACTTGCTGAAGTGAAAAAACAGATTGACAGAGCCAGACGAGTACCCAGAAGTCACCTCCTACAAGACAGGCCCAACAAAGAAAATAACAGAATACCACTAGCTGTCACCTTCAGCCCCCAACTAAAACCTCTCCAGCGCATCATCAAAGATCTACAACCTATCCTGAAAGATGATCCCTCACTCTCACAGATCTTGGGAGAGAGAGACCTGTCCTCGCTTACAGACAACCCCCCAACCTGAAGCAAATACTCACCAGCAACCACACATCGCTGAACAAAAACACTGACCCAGGAACCTATCCTTGCAACAAAGTCCGATGCCAACTCTGTCCACATATCTATTCAAGTGACATTATCATAGGACCTAATCACTTCAGCCATACCATCAGGGGCTCGTTCACCTGCACATCTACCAATGTGATATATGCCATCATGTGCCAGCAATGCCCCTCTGCCATGTACATTGGCCAAACCGGACAGTCTCTAAGCAAAAGAATTAATGGACACAAATCTGACATCAGGAATCATAATACTCAAAAACCAGTGGGAGAACACTTTAACCTGTCTGATCATTCAATGACAGACCTGCGGGTGGCTATTTTACAACAGAAAAGCTTCAAAAACAGACTCCAACGAGAAACTGCTGAACTCGAATTGATATGCAAATTAGACACAAGCAATTTAGGTTTGAATAAAGACTGGGAATGGCTGAGCCATTACAAACATTGAATCTATCTCCCCATGTAAGTACTCTCACACTTCTTATCAACCTGTCTGTACTGGGCTATCTTGATTATCACTTCAAAAGTTTTTTTTCCTCTTACTTAACTGGCCTCATAAGTAAGTTGGTAAGACAACTCCCACCTGTTCATACTCTCTGTATGTGTGTATATATATCTCCTCAATATATGTTCCATTCTATGCATCCGAAGAAGTGGGATGTAGCCCACGAAAGCTTATGCTCAAATAAATTTGTTAGTCTCTAAGGTGCCACAAGTACTCTTGTTCTTTTTAGTTTCTAAGGTGCCACAAGTACTCCTGTTCTTTTTATGTGACATAAGTACATCCCTGCAGACAAGCCCTGAGGGGAGAAGGCAATGTGGAGTCACATACAGTTTAGAACTCTTTGTTTTTTGTCAGAGTTAACAAAACCCAACCAAGCAAAGCAAACCCAAAGAATTTCAAATAGAGTCAGACCCATTCCCCTTCCCCAGTCAGTTACAGATAGGAAAGCTACAGCCCAGGTTTCAAAATCCTGCAATGGAACTACTAACTCCCCAGGTCCTTCAGAGGATCCGCTAGCAAAATTTAGGAAGACAAGAATTGATATTCCTCATTTTAAAATCTTCTATTGTAACCACATTCAGAGGCCCCCAATTAGGATCAGGGCTGTGTTGTGCTCGGTGCTGTACAAACACATAGAAAGAGTCTGTGCCCTGAAGAGCTTACACTCTAATCTTCATAAGATAAAACACAAGCAGAAAAAAAATTAAAACAAACTTTAGACCATCCTCACACATCATAAAGAATCAGTCAAGGCTATAAGCAAAATATATTCCCCCTTTTGTAGTCCACATCTAGAGATCCTATAGCACTTCTTGCAAAAGTAGAGACAGGAATCCTAATGCCTTGGCTAAAGGCTAATGTGCATAATTACATTCTGCTTTGTGAAATTCCCACTTTTTAGAATCATGGGGTTAGAAGGGACTGCAAAGATCATCTAGTCTAAACCCCACTTACAACAATTAGATATGAGATTCTTCTTTGTTGCAGGCCCTACAATGTGTCATGGGGCTGTGCACGTTGTTTGAACAGCACCAACACATGGGGCTTTCACCCCTTCCCTAGTGAGACCATTCTCCAGTGGGAATGATCTCACTGGTAGGAAACTTTCCCTGACGTACAGCCTACGTGTGCCTTTCTTAAGTGCATGGCATTGCTCTCACTCAGAATCATACCCCCTTGGAACACATCCAGCAACTCCTGCTGGTCCAGAATGGACAAAGGAAGGAGGCTCAGTCCCAGCGCTGGTTTTATGGGCTCCAGCACCTCCACCACCTCCCTTGTATTTAAGATGCGCCCATCCCCATCGCTTCTGGGCGCCCCTGCTTCCACATCCTGCCCCCTCACCCTTCTGCACCGCCTGGCCCCGCGCACCGTGGGGGCTCGGCCCCTCTGCCCTGAACCTTACGGTCAATACAGGAAACGATCCTCCTGCGCCCCAACAGCTGGGGCCAGCTTGGGGTCCTCCGCAGCTGGGCCCCTAACGTGCTGCAACCTCGCCAAGCCATGCCAGCAGCCCTCCTGTGCCGGGGCGCCTGCCCTGCGCCGCACTGCGGGAGTTGTAGTCCGCAGCGGAGGGCAGCCCGTAAAAGATCCCCGGCTGAGGAGGGGGCGCGGGACTACAGCGCCCAGAAAGCACCGCGCAGGAAGGCTGAGGAATTCTGGGAGCTGTAGTCCCCCTTTCACCCCATTGAGGCTCTCGCATTGGCCGCTGGGCGGGGGCAGTCTTAAAGGTATTGCACGTTTGCATAACTTTTATTGCCCGCCGACCTTCAGCAGGCTGAGAGGCAGGCAGCCTGGGTCCGCTCCCCCATCCCCAAGCCGCTGTGCAGCCAGGAGCATCCCTCCCCCAGCAGAGAGAGGGGCTGCTGCACCCGCAGCTGGTGAGGGGAGCCCTGGCGACGGGGGTGGGAGGGGGGAGGGGGAGTGAGCCTTGGGGGGTGGGGACATGGGGGGGGGAGCGAGCCCTGGCATGGCGGGAGGAGGGGAGATGTAGCAAGCCCTGGGCATCATGAGGATATGGGGTAGTGGGAGGAAGCTGGGGAGCAATGACTGTTCTGCTGTGGTTACCAGCAAAGTTGCCCCTTAGCAGACATCAGGATGGTCCAACACCTACCCCTGGAGGATTCAAACCTGCCACCTAGAGCTGCAAGGCTCTGTCCCATGAACCCTCCAGCGCTCCCAGGATAGGACACCCGCGGCTGGCACCTAGAAGAGGGAATGTTTATACCCTTTCTGCAGCAACAGCATAACTGGCGCCCAGTCCGCTGCAGGGGTGGGAGAAAGGGGAAGGTGGACAGGGACAAAGGGAACATTTGTCCCCCCGTGCCCCCCCCCCAACCATCTTCAAAGGGTCCCAGATTATTGACAGGCCAAAATATGTACAAATGTCCAACGTTAAGCAGTAGAAGAGCAGCTGTCTGGAGAGTCTTCCTCCCTGATATATATTATAAATCACAGCAAAATACTAACATAATAGCTAATTTTTACATCTTTAAATGAGTGGAATGGTTTCTCTCTCTTTTTGCCTGAATAAGTGGTAACAGCAAGTGCTTCCCGACCTGTATTCTCGCCCAGGTGCCTCTGCTTGCAGAGAAACTAGTTCAAGGAAGCAAGAGATGTCTCGACCAGGCAAAAAGAGAAGCAGAGCAACGTTGGCAGGTCTGTACAGAAGTCTTAACCCGCTCAACAGCTGTAGCTTTTTGGCTGTTGGGTTCTCACATTTGGGTGTGGGTTCCAGTTGATAGTGAAAACATGGACAAATACACTCTTTACTCGGCTGTAAGCTGCCCACCTTTTCATAGGCCAGGATTTTGCAGATTGTGTGTTTCTCTTCTGTAAATTGTCTGGGAGACCCCTATGGGCCTGACAGGAGTTTTTCCTTCTATATAATAAGGGACAATGATGTTTCCCTGCAGCACAAGAGGGTTGGGAGATTTAATTAATTAATATTTGAAAAGCATCTTTAGATTGTCCACTGTTAAGGTACTCGAAGACAAAATACTATGTAGCATTGTTATTACACTACTTGCTATGACACAAAAGTATTATCAAATAACTAACCAACTGCATTAGAGGCAATGTGACTTAGTGGATAGGACTCGGGAAGTTGTATTCCCGCCTCTGCTATTGATTTGCTGTGCAAACTTGGGCAAGTCACTTTTTCTCTCTGTGCCTCTGTTACCCGCTCTCTTGGCTGCATGCTATTTAAGATTTTAACCATTTTCAGGCAGGGACTGTCTCTTAGCATCTAGCACAGTGGAACCTGTACCTCTGAGGCTTCTAGGTGCTGGAGTACAGGAGATTAAAAATAAAGTACACTGTGATGTACAATTTTTGTATGTTCACTTTTGGGCTAATTCACAGAGTTTGGCTGCCTGCACTTAGTTTCTCATCTGTTGGTACAAAGTAGTCCAGTTGTTGCATTTCATTAGGGCCAGTTTTCTGAGTCAAGCTAATACACTATTGTGGCTTTTCGATATTTAAACGAAAGTACGAGCAAAACCTTGGCAATCACTAGACCACAGCTGTCAACCAACAGTAAAAACTCCTGTATTTTTTTTTTTTAACCTTGGAACACATTCCAGATATGCTGGAAATCTTTGTAAGTGATGTCAACTGCCTAAGCTAGGGGCTGGGATCCATCAAAAACTCCTTTTCTAGCCAAATGTTGTCCCATATCAAGCCCGCTGAGATGCAAATCAGGTGTTTACAACAATTGGCAAATTAGGAAACTATGTGTTCTAATTTCTCCACTCACGTTGTGTTTGTTTAAAGATAAAGAGGGGCCTGCTACTAAATTCGCCAAAAGTAAGATTCAGGAGGAGGAAGAAGAATCCATGATGTCTGCAGCTAAGGAGAGGAATTCAAAGCCCATGGGGAGCGGCACAGGAAAGGCTACCAAGGAGGCCTGCCCTAGCGTGCAGGGAAGCAAGCAAGCGTACAGCCACTGGCTGATGAAATCAGAGCCGGAGAGCAGGTTCGAGAAGGGAGTGGATGTGAAAGTAAGCCCTGGATCTTCCTTACTGTCACCGTCCCAGCACATGTGCTCAAAGATGAGGAGGAATGGAAACTTTTATTTTTAGCTACAGGTTCTGTTTAATATCAAAATTACATTATTTCTTTCTTTCATAATGAAGAGTCACCCTCTTCTCAAATACCCTTCTCTTTCTGGGAGCATGCGCACACAGATTTCATTCTCCTCCAGGCCCAGAGAGATCCTGTAAGAAAGCCACACCAGGCACTGTGTGTGGAACTCAGTGTATGCACTTTGTGACCACGAATGATTGAATTGACCCTGCTAGGATTTTTAATCCGCGGCAGCAGGGAGTCTTTCTATTTCAGACCTGGTCCTTAGACTGCCAAAGCATTCCCTCTACCGCTTAACTTTCTTTACTTTAAACCAAGCAGGGACCAAAAGCTTTGTAAACCAGACAGTATGATGAGAGATGCCCTAGAAACACATCAATGTACATAGACAATAAGAAAGGCCTCTGTCCATTAAATCCAAATTATAATCCAAGTCTAACCTCCTGTTTTTAATTTGATTGGGCAGTTCGGCATTGAAGACTTAAAGGCTCAACCCAATCAGACAGCATGCTGGGATGGAGTCAGGAATTACCAGGTAAGGAGCAGTGATTGAAGGCCCGGATTGCAAATACAGCATTGCTGAAATATCACTATTGAAAACAATAAGAAAACAAAAATTAGCTCTCTTCATAAATGCCAAACTGCAGGCAAAATAGAGGACATGTCCACCCTGCCTGTTCCTGTGCCCAAATTCTTCCCCTGCATACACTAAGCCAATTGTTCCTACTTGCTGCACTTTGGTAAGAGCATATGTGGCTAATTATCTATGGCTTAACAAAAAAATAATCTCCCCAGACATATTCAGACAGGCCAGTCCTCTGGAAAGTCACCTGATTTTTCTGTCTGGTTTCAGAAAGAAATATGCAGGTTCAAAGCAAACATCAACCCTCATTTCTTGTCTTTTCCTTTCCTCTTCATTTTTTTTCTGCAAAGCCCCAGCTAACGTGACTCCAGCTTCTTGTCTATGTAGTTTTCTGTTTCGGCACACTGGTACAGTGGGAAATCTAAGCACAATTTTGTCTCTGTATAAACAAAATCAGGTTTGCTGCTTGTTCTGTAACAGGGAACTTCAGACTCCTGCAGTTGCTGAATGAGGATGGCAGAGCTGCTGAATTCCAATAGACTTTATCGCTACTAAGACCCTAGGTCTTTAGTCTGTTTTTCTTACTTGAACTTAGAGTGGAAAAAAAAATCTTGATATTTGTAGGAATGTTTGTACGAGCAGGTCTGAAGCACCAGTGGCCTCTGCACTTCCATTCTTCCTGTTTCATTAAGCAGCTAATGGGGACAGCCTTTTGAAACCTTCCTAGAGGGGATATTGCAGGCCCTCCTCATAGCTTAATTCAGTTCAGTGGTCTCTTCTTTAATCATCTGACAGGCACGGAATTTCATGAGAGACATGAAACTTGGGCAAGAAGCATTTTTCTATCACAGTAACTGCAAAGAGCCTGGAATTGCTGGAATTATCAAGGTGAGAGCCTCTTGCTAATCCTTGCAACAGTGAAATACTTCACTGCTGGTCTATTGGAAACAGAAGTAAAATTAGCCCTGCTCCTACCTCAACCCCCGAGAAATGCAGGAGTAGCCTAATCATTAGTTGTGAAGAGCCTACAATCACTGATTCACAGACCAGCAGTGCTGACTCCCCCCTTCACCCGTCCCCAATAGAAACAGAACCAACTTATGCGATCTCACTGCTTTCATGCTGGAGTGTTTCCAGACAAGGCAATAAAGTTATGCCAGATTTACACCAGTGTCTGAATAGAATCTGGCTCATTGAGTTCCACACAATTGTCTGTGTAGGCAGTCTTTCGGATTAGACTTGAAGCAGCTGACCTCTGTGGGCATGCAAGGTTTTAAGAGTACATGGGTATCCCAATCTCTTGCCCACCATTGCGGTGCACTGGCGCATTGTTGCTCTCAGTGTTTTTTAAAATGCTTTGGGCAGAGATTGTAAAGAAGCTCATCCTATTAGAATGGAGCTCCTATGGTCATATCCAGGGAGCAACTGGCTAACTCTGCAGCAGTATTGCCCCATTACTCCTCATCAAGATCTTTTGGTGGACACCTCATATCTTCTGCTGCTAGGAATACTTAGCTGGCTGATCATGAGAGGTATAGGCAGAGTGCAGGAACTCCAGTCCCTGAGCATTCATTCTATCAGATGCCCTGCTTCAACACTCAATGACTTTATCCCCCGAGACGTGCACTTTTGGCTGCTATTAGTTAGGGCCTTGAATTCTATGCACAGTTCTGACTGCAACCTTAGGCAAGTTCCTTAAACCCCTGACTCAGTTTACCCATTTGGAAACTGCATATACCTTACCAAGCTCGGAGGGTGCCTAGATAGCTACTTAATATTTGTAAAGCCTAGTAGTGAAAGGCGTGCTAAAGGTGTTGCTTTTGATATGCCCTTCCTCTCATTTATGGTGGGTCAGGAGGTGTCAACAACTCTAATCTTACTCAGGAGTCTCTGCTCTGCTTCCCTTTTTATTTTAGATTGTGAAGGAGGCTTACCCAGACCACACTCAATTTGACAAGAAGGACCCTCACTACGATTCCTCCAGTACCAAGGAGAACCCCAAGTGGTCGATGGTAACGTATTAAGTTACACACACAGCCAGTTCTGAACATTGATGCGGTGGGCAGAGGAAGGGAGAGCATCTGATGGCCTCCCTGGGTTATCAAAGCCCCTGTTTGAACCTACACCACCTCTGTCATAAGAGGGAATTCATTCCAGTTGTTTCCCTGTTCCTTTGCTCTACCTTGGCCCCCATCCTGGAGAAGGCGGAGATCCATATACCCTTAAGTTCTTACCACCTCACTTGGAAACCCTGCTGCCTGAAAACAGAACCTCTAACCCCTCTGTAGTGCAGAGCTCAGTGGCCAGGGGAGGAAGATTACTCTGCACACCTTTAAGTCCCAAGCTGAGTCTACACTAGGCAGTGTTCATTCTTAAAGCACAAGAACACAGCTGTAGGGTAGTATTAGACATTAGCCCTACATCCCTAATAAAGGTCTTGTCCCCCAACAAGGAAATGGACTCCTTGCTCTAATGCAGTGGCTCTCAACCTTTCCAGACTAGTGTACCCCTTTCAGGAGTCTGATTTGTCTTCCTAATCCCCAAGTTTCACCTCACTTAAAAACTACTTGCTTACAAAATCAGACCTAAAAATACAAAAGCATCACAGCACATTATGACTGAAAAATTGCCGACTTCCTCATTTTTTACCATTTAATTATAAAATAAATCAATTGGAATATAAATATTGTACTTACATTTCAGTGTGTAGTATATAGAGCAGTATAAACAAGTCATTGTATGACATTTTCATTTGTACTGACTTCACTAGTGCATTTTGTGTAGCCTGTTGTAAAACTAGGCAAATATCTAGATGAATTGCTGTACCCCCTGGAAGACCTCTGCGTACTCCTAGTTGAGAACCACTTCTCTAATGTCAGTAGTTCTTGTCTATCTCTAACAACTGTGCTCCCTCACTGCCCATGTCTCCCCACTCACCAGGTGGACGTCCAATTTGTGCGGATGACTAAGCGCTTCATCCCCCTGTCCGAGCTGAAGGCTCAACACCAGGCACACAGAGCTTCGGGAGGCCCGCTGAAGGACATGACACTCTTCACCAGGCAGAGGCTCTCTGTCCAGCCCCTGACAGATGGTAAGAACCTTCCCCCTCCTAGGGAGGTCTTGACAAGATTCCTGCTAAGGAGAACCCCTTGCTTAGGACACTAGTGTGTTCCGCTTCTGACTCTCTTTTCCTGCCCCTTCACTCAGAGGAATTTGAATTTGTCTTGAGCCTTGAAGAAAAACCAAGTTAGACAGACTGCAGCAGCAGGACCCGTCAAGGCTGAAAATTCCCCTCCTCCAGCCAGGACCCTCCCTTCCAAATTTATATTCTCAAACCCAACCCCAGGGAAGACGCTGCAAGCGGACCAAGAGGAGTTGTATATATTCACTGTTATTTTGGTGCACTATGCTTATTTTTAAATAAAGCTTTTTTAAAGTCAGTGATACCTACTTGATTTTTCAGGGATGGGGAAGGATTTGCAGCCCCTCTTTACTACAGAGAGAACAAGAAAAGAGCTTGCCTTCCTGATTCCATTTACGATAGGCGGTGCCAAGACACACAAGGCTCCTTCCACTCTTCAGTGCAAACCCTTCTGTGCTGCAGAGGTACAGAGATCTCTCAAGAGCAAGTATACACATTCAGCAAAGCAGGCTGCCTGGAGAGTTTAAGACCGGATTTCAAGTTTTTAATACTGTAGCCTTTAGGGCCTAATGATGTGGGCTGTGGTTTAATCCTTGTGCTGGGCTAGCGATCGGGGGCAGTTCACTTACTGAGCTTGCTCTAGGTCAGGGTTTTTCAAACTAGGGGTCGGGACCCCTCAGGGGGTCGTGAGATCATTACATGGGGGGTCATGAGCTGTCAACCTCCACCCCAAACCTCGCTTGCCTACAGTATTTATAATGCTGTTAAATATATTAAAGTGTGTTTAATTTATTGGGGGAGGGGGGCTTGCGATATGAAAGGGGTCACCAGTAAAAAAGTTTGAGACCCACTGCTTTAAGTCCTGGTAAAAGGAGAAAAAACAACCCACTGGGATCGAATAGCTGTAAAAGTCACCCATCAGCACGGCTCTAGGTGCACTTTACATGGGATAAAGTGGGGCCAATTAACTTTTCTCAGTAAGAAGCACTTCTGCTCCACACCTTTAGAGGCAGCACAGTGAGAGAACAGGCTGGGTTCGTCCTCCCTCAGGTGCCTGCTGAATGCCTGGCCTGAGGATAGGTAGGATAGTTCAGAACTGCAACGTAAAACAAGTCGGAGAAACAAATGCACAGCATTTAAAAGCCTAGAATGGCCCTTTTAATCCAAGAGACAAAAAACAAATTTTAAAATACAGCCATTGAAAAGATGATGAATTAAGAAACATGTAAACACTGCAGAGGCTAAATTACAAGTTGCACTGCTTGGTTCAGTACCTATGCACCACTCCCCACAGTGAGAATCTGCTTGGAAGAGCGGGGGACACCCAAAGCACAGGATAAAACAACTCAGCATGGGCTGGGCTGCGAAAGCCACAATAGTTCCCCGCTCCTCTTATTAAACAGTTGTCTTTTTCTTTTCTGTAGTCTGAATTTCATGTCTGTCCTCTCAAGAGCCAATCATTACAGATGGGGCAGGTATCATCACCCCAAACACAGGACATAATAGAAAGCAGGTTGAATGATCTAATCAGAGAAGGTAAAAATGTGGGGAGGGGTGACTCTCAAGCCTAGTCCTATGATGGGGGACACGCAGGTGAGGAAAAGTTAGCAAAAGGAAACATTTTGGCTCATGCACCTTTTCTGACTAATCCCTCTCACAGTGACAAGCAGATGCTGTCTGAAAATATTCCGGGGAGGGGAGAGGGGGATTTCCATCTTTAGGCAATCTCCTCAGGTCCTTCACTGATCCTGTTTCACCACTCACCTAATGCAGAGATGTGTTCACCCACTGGGCTTCTTAACACCAACACATACTACAACCAAGAGAAGTATTCAAGCACAAAGGGATTTCAGGATGGCTGTTTTGAGATGAGGCAAAGGGGAGAGTGGGTCAGGATGCAGCTGGGTTAGGCTCAGCCACACAGATACCATCTGTTACCCGGACTGTCTTCCAAAGGGAGCCTCACCTGTTTTCAAATGATTGTGCATTGCCACGGCACACCTGGATCCCTCTCAATGGGGTAGAAGCAGAGCAGGCTAGCCACCGAAGTAGCGTCCATGTTCGTTTGCTACACGAGGCCCAAAGCACACCGCTATCCCTACGCGTGATGTAACAAAGCAGCTGCCTTTAATAGGACTTGGCTTCAGTCTGAGGGAGGAGACTGTCATTCCAGTCCACAGCAGGGACCTCTCATGTACAGAGGCAGAGTAAGCCGCACATCCTCACTACTACAGTGCAGAACATGGTGTGACACTAGTGTTCACAGCAGAGAAGAGGCAATTAACGTCCCCTGGGACGGAGCAGGACTCTCCATCTAGGATAAGAACCATAGCCCTACGTGTGACTGAGTGAAAATAAAACTTAGTTTGGCAAGCAGAAAACACATTTATCACTGAACTACAGCAGCTTTCTTACTACGCAAACATCACCCCCCTCCCACCCAGATCCCACCACCACTACAGGCACCAGGGCACTGTCTCATACACAGCACGTTGCAGAAGATGCTTTAACTTCCCAGCAGCAAGAGAACAGCTCTACATCCAACCAGAGGAAATTTCAGATTCAGAAGCAAGCCTGGCAGAACGTCAGGAAAATCATCAGTACAGCTCCCATTATAGAGGGAGTTGATGTCCCGGTTTAGTTCAGGTTTCTGTCGCCATATGCTGGTTGGAGGTTTTATTACCTGCTTCCTAGAAAGGGATCTAAAAAGGATGGAGAACATCTAAATCCAGTCCATCAGTTAAGTCTAAAAGACCATCTCTGAACTTTAAAGGAGGGCTGATCCCACTTAACTCAAAAGATTAAATGGCGTTTATTTTAAGAGTGAAAGACATCCCATACTCAGGTCCTCAGATAGCTTCATGCCCAAAGCCACTACCACTACTGTTCTCATCAGGCCCAACTGATCAAGAGCTGTCTATGGAAGCAAAAAGTGTTGCCTGCCATCTTGCTTCACTTCACTTAGCAGCACCTACAGACCAGTAACTCCTTAAACAAAGGAGTCCCATTTGCTAGGAATAGTAATAGCCCATCCCAGGTGCTATGGGGGTATCCTTCAAGCCTTTTGCATACAGGTGCATTTAAAGAACACCCCCGTGTCCTCTTCTGTCCCACCCTACTACTCTTTCAGATAATTTTCAGCCAATCAGGGAAGTCCCCATGAGGTTTAACCACAGCACCACTGGGGTGAATCCTAGAGACAGATGAAGCAGAGTTTCATCCAGATAAATTGGAAACAAGGAGAAAGCCAGAAGGGAAACAGTCCATCATTTACTGCAGCACTTCAGAGGCTGCACAGGCCACTGCACTGATGCTGCTCTCTCACACCCCACAACGCTTTTCCCTGTACAACTCCTAAGGAGACCTGACTGCAACTGCTTCCCACAACAGCATGTGGAATCTGTACCACCACTCTATTACACACTCTTCTATCTCCAACATACACAAGCTTCCCAGGGCTCAGCTGCACCAGCGTGGCTCTATCAGACAGCATGGATTACAAACTACAGCCTGACCTCCCGGAGGCGAGACTATCAAGGCTCTGTGCGCTCTCTTTCATTGGCCAGTTTCCTCCCAGACTCACACTGCCTAGCAGCTCTGCTAGCTCTCCCATACCTCGTCTGCCCTTTCCAGTATCCATACGCCTGTCAATTCCACTCTCAGCTACTATCTGCGTTTTTAAATGTTAACTATCCCCCCTGCTCCCCCCCGAGATGCTGCATCCATGAGCTCCCAAGGCAGGGACACAAAGGCAGCATCATCTGCTACGCTGCACAACCTGGCTCTGTTATTCACAGGGCTGATTCAACTAATTATATAACCGTTTGCAGCAGAGACTCCAGGAACAGCACGGGGGGTGGGGGTTGGGGGGGGGGGGGACGAGTCAGGCAGGCTACACCTCAAGCTTAAACTCCACTCACACACACTCCCGCCTTCCAGCTAAAATGCTTCATCAGGCTCCCTCCTCCCACTCACCTCATGAGGGCTTCTCGATGGCAGCCAAAATGCCTTCCTACATGCCCAAAGTGACACCCCTACCGCAGAGGAGGCACAACAAATTTCCCCTCCCGCCTCCCCACTGCCATGCTGAAGGGGTCTCATGGCAACGGGAAAGTCAGGCAGCCCAATGGCCCCTGCATGTGTAAAAGCAGCCTGCCCCAGAGAAATGTAGGAGGTTGGGGAGCACCGAGGTACGTTCAACTTTGTGCCGTGGTTGCTGTAGCTTCCATTGCCCCTTCCCAACCCTACTGGTCCTTCGAAGATCAGAATTAAGTCAAAAAACTGATATTGATTTTCATAAGTCTCTGGTGAAATATTTTCTTTTCCCCTCGTTGCTGCTGCCGGCCCCGGACACTTGGGTTCTGCAGCAGCCTCGCTCCACAGGGTCTTTCACTGCCGGCTGTTGTTTTCTGCAGGCTGGCTGGGGGTCCTGGCCTCAGCATGGGAGGACGTCCCCTCAAACCGCTGAGAGGCAATGGCTGCCTGGTGGGACATGCTCTTCCTCACAATGTCTCCTTTCCGCCATAGCACCACCTCCTGTCAGACAGCAGGACACCGTTAGGACATGCAGCAGCTACGCTGGCCCCACCCACGATGTACTCATAGGTCTGAACATCTGCCTAAGCTGCTGGAGCAGTAACTTGCATCCATCCCCATATGCTGGCCTATTCCACTCTCCATCCTTCAGCTGGGAAAGGCCATTACAGCTTCAAGAGAGGGGCCTAGGCAGTGCAGATCTCTGGAAGGCCAGATGGTAGCACTCCACAGAGGATGGGCCAGAGGCAACCACTAGATGTCAGGTCTGTCCTAGTAAGTTGGGCAACATTGCCGTGGTTAATGCAGTGCAGAGAATTGATAGGGGGATTACGCTGGATAAGCCCTCTCCGAGGACCATCCCCTAACAGACCCAGATACGCAGGTGCATTCTCTATCCACACCCCAAATGATCTGGCTCCAGTGGGTACCCAGGGAGGAGCATCTTCCCCCACATCACCAGCCAGGTTGTCCAACATTCTTCTGTTGCTAGTTATAATGGAGCACCTGAAGAAGCACTTGACTGGCTGGCTACAGTCCACCCCATGGTGCAGTCACACCCTTTCTCACCTGCTGTTTGAAGTAGCGCCTTTCTTCTTCATCTATCAGTACCAGGTTGAGGTAATAACGCACCGAGAACTTCTTATTGATGTCCCTCATAGTGGGTGTCAGCTCATAGCCTGCCAGGAAGAGTCTGATTGGAATGGACTCCCCTGCAAAAGGCATGAGTGTAGGCACAACATATTGAGTCAAATCTTACAAGGACAGTACTGGCACAATAAGATAAAACCAGAGCAAGCTAACGCCTCCAACTCTGTGCCTGAGTCTGGCATACCTTATCACTGCTGGATGGGGTTTGGGCCAAGTGCCCTCGGCTCCCACAGAATAGCAGTTAGCATGCTTACTCCTTAGCAGGGTCATGCCCTTTGTGGCAAACGTCCTTCCTCCACTTCAATAGCACAGGGTTCCCTTCATTGCCCACAGCATTGGAGGAGAAAGAGAATGGAATGACATTCCTTCTAGCTACTGACATGGGAGTTCTAGAACATACCTGCAAGTCACCACTGCTGAACACTATCATCCAGAGAGACCAGCTCTCTCAGGGGATTGGCAATGAGGTAAGATACCCCCTTTCAGCGCTATGTTCTGAGACCAGGCTCAGGTCAGTAGCGGAAGTCTACTCCGCTGTGCCACTGACTTGCTAGGAGACTTAAAGACACCAGCAATGTGCCTCAATTTCTCCCACGTTTGTAAGCTGCCATGAGATCCACCAGTGAAGAGGGATGCACGAGCCAGCTATTACCACACAAGAAAACAGGCCCTCAATTGAAGATAGATGACAACTTTATGGGACTCACAGTAGGTCCCACATTCCTGCAAAAATTAATGGTGCAAAACAAGCTCTGGTCCCCCCAAAGATTCTAGGAGAGGAATGTAAATGGTTCCCCACTCCTTCTCACCTCTCACAGGTGCCCCGTCCATGATCTCATATTTAGCTATTGTATCATTCTCGTGGTAAACATTGGGGCCGGTCCCTGTTGTCTCTCTCTTGATGATATCTATCTCCATGTGTTTGATCTTGATCCGCACCAACAGGAAGTAGATTTTTCCAACAATCACATCTTTTAAGTGGTACCTTGGGAGGATAGGCAAGACAGCCACGATCAATTTTGGTCTCTGCACATCAGAGCAGGAAACAAGTTGACAAGCTGGAATGTGCCTGTCAGACACTTCCCCATTCTCCTCAGGGCCCACTTCAGATTCCAGGGGCAGCCCAGCCACACGTTCTGGGCTGCTCCAAGCGATAACCATGCATTCATGCTCAAGTCTCTGGGCATCAGCAAGTCTGAGTGGGATTACTGGATAAAATGAGGAGACATCTTAGGCTGGACATTCATAAGAACTTCACTACAACAAGATCCAAGTCACCCAGTGGCAATTGCTTAGGTAATTTAAAACAACACCCTGCAGGAGGACGCTCCAGCACTGGGTGGGAAGGATGGACTAGATGTAGTCTAAACTGGTAATTTCCAATTTCTGTGCCTGAGTTAACAGCCACATAGTCCCATATTTAATCACGCCATTCTGGCAAACAGCAGAAGCTGTGCCATTGGGCCACCCGGGACTCAGAACAATGGGAGTACTCAATCCGACTAAAATAAACCCACCTTCATCCCAATTCTATGCACCCCCTCAGTATGTGGGTGCAGATGCCTCCATCTGGATAAAGCACATTCCAGGGTGGTGGTGAGAGATCTAAAGCAGGAACAGTCTCAGCACTTCAATGAACAGCCTGCCATCCACAACAGGGAACAGGGAGAGCTAAGATAAATTACAGGGCCCCACCTAAAGTCTACAACAGGAGCTGCCTCTGCATATCTAGTCGAGTTAAGCAGCCTCTAAGGGTACGTCTACACAACAATTAGACTTGCGCGACTGGCTCGTGTTAGCTGACTCGGGCTAAGGGGCTGTTTCATTGCTGTAGACTTCTGGGCTCAGGCTGCAGCCTGGAGCTCTAGGACCCTGCAAGGTGCAAGGGTCCCAGAGCTGCAACCTGCGCCCCGAAGTCTGCACTGCAATGAAACAGCCCCGTGAGCCAGCTGTTTTGCAGTGGAGACATGCCCGAGGAGTACCACCTGGCCTACCCAGCAGGCTGCATCCCCTCACGCAGGAAGTTCTACTCAGCAGCCCTTCTCAGGACACTTACTTGGATTTGTTATACTCAAACTCGATGTGCAGGCAATCCTCGATTCCCACCTCCATCTTGATAGAGGAATTGAGCTCCGGGTAGGTGCTGAGTGTGTGCACGACGATGTCCATCTCCTTCACCACATCATTTAATCTGCGGCTGACGGTCGCTCGGAGGAAGTACCTGAAAGGGGAACACCTCATCCATTAGAACCCTTCCAGACTACATCATTGGGTGCAAAAGCCACGGAGGAAGACGTTAGGGTGGAGGAGAGAGGAATGTGGGCTTTGATGGAGCCGCTGAGACCATCTGGTCCATGCAGTCCAGTAACCTGCCTCCTGTAGTGGACAATACTTGATGGTTTAGAAGAAGGTGAAAGTCCTTTGTAGTGCACCTGAGCAATTGTACATTGCTGTACATAGGGGAGACTTTCCAGCCTGAACCCTATGGCTTATTGCCCTAAAGCATGAGATGTGAGTACACTAATCACCACCTCGGTAACTCAATATCGATCATAAAATTATCCAGCCCTCTTAAATGCAGCTACAGCATTTGACTCATTGACTAGATTTCAAGGGGACAGCCCAACTCTGAAATAGGATTTGCAATTTGTAAACAACAACATGTAAGCAAGGCATTTCTTTGCATCTAAGCCACGATTAAAATAAGCAGGCCTGATTACCAAACTTCTGAAACACATTTAACTGTCTCTGCTGGAGACTGAAGCAAATGACCAGACATTGCTCTTTTATTGCCAAATAAATTGGAAGCATTTGGGAATCAGAAGAGACTTTGGTTTCCCTTATTTTTTAAACAAGAAAAAAAAAAGGAGCAACTCAAGCGTGATGCACTTGCACAAGAGAAGCCATTTTACTACTGCGCCCGCCACACAGCTTCTGGAACTGCACTCAGTGCTTGACATGCTGTCCCAAGACGGCGCTGCATTCCATTATCACAAGTGTTGATAATTTAACATTCCATTTCAGCCAAGGATCAGATGCACAGAGCCGTCGGCTGGCGTGAGCGATCGCAGTTGCAGCACAGACAAGAGATATCAAGAAGTAACTGCAGACTGGAGGAACAGAGGGGAAGCCGGAGAGAGAAGCGTGGGTTTTAGAAGAGGGGGAGAAAGAGGAATGACAAAAAGGGCTGAGACCTCCCTTTTCAAACGTGTGGCTTTCACAGGAGTTGGTAGATTTTCCACAGATTTTCTAGGCATCCCACACATAGTATCTGAACTGTCAATCCACCCCCATGCCCTAGTGCTTCAACACGAAATGGGACTATACCGTGACCCCCCACACAAACAGCAGCTTGAGGGGCTCAACACACATGCATGCACATGAAGAGCCACAATTCAGTTTAAAAGGGAGAGTCCAGTAAACTGTGTATTTACTAGAGATACAGATTAGAAATTAATTTCTTCAGCAGCCTTTAGAAATTATAAGCACTGCTCTGTTCTCTCTACAGGGTTAACTGGGAGTGTGGTGCCCCTCTCAGCTGGGAATAGCATTTTATCAATATTTCCTCCCTGCTGGGGGGAAACAGCTCGGGCTGGAACGCCTGGGAAATCAGATTTTAGAAGTTACTGTCAGCTTGTTTTAAAATGATAGAAAATGGTTAGTTTAACAGCAGTTCAGTCACTTTTCAATGACACGCCCCTCTTAAACAATTAACACTCCTGAGCTCTGATTTCCCATGGGTTTCAAAGGCAAGACCCATTCCCCATGGCCCTAGTCTATGGGCTTGTCTACACTGGCACTTTACAGCTGTGCAACTTTCTGTGAAAAAACACCCCCCTGAGCACAGCAAGTTTCAGCACTTGTAAAGCACCACTGCAGACGGTGCACGAGCGCTGGTAGCTATGCCCATCATGGAGGGGTTTTTTTTTTTAAGAGCGCTGGAAGAGCGGTGTGACTACACAAGCCACGTTAAAGTGCTACCGCGGCAGCGCTTTACCGTTGCCAGTGTAGACTAGCCCTATGTTATCACGCTGTCAAAGTTGTCAGTTCCCTATTGGATTTTCAGTTGTTCCTTATTATATTTAAGGTAGATCGTAGTTCTATCTATTCTTCCTAATTCGACTCTTAGACATAGGCATTAGACCCACATGCTGCTGTAGGGCTTTGAGGTCCAGATACATGCCCTGGTCGTGGGAGCCCTGGGCGCATGGGACCCCCACAACGAGCCAGTACTGAGAGCGTGCAGAGTCGGTCGACGCTACGCCCGGCTCACGAGACAGCTCATGGTGTCTGACACCATCAGGTGGTCCAGAGACATCTACATGGAACACATCATGGGACACCACCAGTACCAAGTTGAGTAACCGAGAACACCGACCAGGGAAATAACCCACTTCCTTCCCTGACGAACCGAGGGACGCACCCTACCCATGTACTTATTCTCTACGCCAATATCGACTTGGACTCTTAATACATTCCATGGGTGGCGTACCTGAGCCCACTTATCCACTGACGCTTTAAAAATTCTCGCACCCCAATCTGGATCTATGCTGGTTATAGGGCCGGTGCCTTCCACTTCCACCTTGCGCCCCCGCCCCTCCAGTAGCTCCCTGCACCCACCTCCACCCTGAGGCGCCCCCTCCCACGGCAGCCCCCCCAACCACCCTGAGGTGCCCCCCCCGTGGCAGCTCCCCTCCTCCCCCCGGGGAGCCGTGCAGCAGCTCCCCACCCCAGCTCACCTCTGCTCCGCCTCCTCTCCGAGCATGCTGCCCCTGCTCTAATTTTCCTCCCCTCCCAGACTTGTGGCGCCAAAAAGCTGATTGGTGCTGCAAGCCTGGGAGGCAGGAGAAGTGAAGCGGCAACTGCGCGCTCGGGGAGGGGGCATAGGAACACTGTAAAAAAAAATTGGGGGCACCGCTTTTTGGCGCCCCCAAATCTTGGCGCCCTAGGCAACCACCTAGTTTGCCTAAATGGTAGCACCAGCCCTGGCTGGTTATGTGATATGTATGTACCTCGTGAACCTTGTAACCGATACTTGAAATCCCCCATAACCCAAGCCCGACCCCAGATGTACAGTACCTTCCCTCTTAACTTGTGTAAATTTGATTTTAAACATTAACTTTAATAAAATTTTTAAATCTGGTGGTGTGTGTTCATTTGAGGTACCTTGGGTACTGGAGCTCTTACTAGAAAGACACTCCATGAAAACTAATGCACAGGGAGAAGGCTGAAGCTTGGGACTGGGAGAAACCCGACAGCAGGAGGAGACTCACCGTAACTTCACGTTCTGCCCCGTGTAGGACTCGTATGGTTTTTCCACATGTGTGAATTCGAAGTCGAATGTCTGTGACTGGGTGAACTCACCAGGACGGGCCAGATCCTTCACCAGAGAGACAAATTCATGGTGGTTGCCCCGGTCATAGTAGAGCTCTAGGAAGAGAATACTCGGTTAGGCAGTGCTGCTCACTCCCATATGAGGAGGTCAGCTTTGGGAGAAGAACTGCACCAAATGGGCATGGCAGAAAGGAACCAGCCCCCTACAAAGCCTCTTCCTCATTCTATCCCTTCTCCTCCACTTCCCAGAGAGAGAACATCTCCCTGGAAATCCTGAGGTTCAAACACAAAGGGCCATGCTTCATCCAGCCCCAACTGGGCCAGATACACAGTGAGAGGAGTGAGCCAGGGTCTAAAGAGTAGAGATGCACAGTTAGGTCCTTGACCCATCACAGGCCCAAGCTCATTTTGAAATGCCGGTAAAAACGAGGATCCGATTTTGCAGATTGGTTTGTGCACCCTAGAAATCAGCAGTGCTGTTCCCCTCACTGGACAGCTCATGTTCGCACAGTGGCTTACATTCTCCTCTCTCATGCGCATGACAGAGTCCAATACAACGGAAGGAGTGCTCTCTTAATGGTTCGATTTAGCAAGTCTAGACTCTTGGGTTCCATTCTTGGGTCTGCCACTAATTTATTGCGACACCCTCAATACTTCCCTGTTCTGTATGCTTTTTTCCTCATCAATAAGATGCGGTCAGCTACCCATCCCCTTTGCTACATTAGTATCTGTAAATTGCTTGAGGATCCTCAAAGAGTGTCATCTTCCATTGTACAAGTAGAAAAGAAACAAGACATCCCATGAGCTCATGCAAAATATCCAACCCACGGGTAGGGGAACAGGACAGGGTGGTGTCAAAAATAACTGAGAAGGTTGGTAAATATTCCACTCCCATGAAAGCAGGTGAAGAGAGAGGGGACAAAGAAAGCAGGAGCGGAGATTCCCATGATGTCTCTTCAGCTTTACTCACTTACCCCTACCTACAAAAACAAACCAGAACATCTATGTAGGTCAGTTTAATCAAGTTTAATATAACCAGACTACCTGCAAAGACAAGGAACCATCACAGAGCAAATCAGCAGCTAGTGCCATCCCTTCTCTCATCACTTCCTGCAGAGCCTCACCTTCAGAGTCTAGGCACTGGACTTCTAACCAGTAAAAAACAAAGCCTCAAGGCTTCCCCAAAATGGGGAAAGCAGAGACAAAGCAGAAGTGTGGGGCTACGAGGCTTCCATCTATCATTGCTCATGCCTCTCAAAGAAGGTTAAAGCAACAGAAAATGCAGCGGTGGCCCCATTAGCTCCAGGGAACAAAAAAAGGTAAAGAACCCCATTGATTCCACAGTATGCCAGCACTCAGCATGTGACCATGCAGAGAACACATCTTCAAGGAGTAAAGCTGAGCTGATGGCTCTATGATGGATACATGTATGGCCAGGGAAATGTTAGGGAACGAGGGTATGTGTGGGCGAGTTGCTCAAACCAGCTGCAGATGAAAAGGCAGACATTTTCCTGCGCCCTCCCAATTGTTCCAGCGGTTCTCCAAACATAGTCGCGACCAAGTGACCATCTTTAATATAA